AGAAAGTTTAATATTTAAATAGCTATTCATTATTTTACAGAACTTTTAACCTCGAACTTAAAATTCGCGCATTCTTTAGTTTTAGACTCTGGAAGGGTTTTGTCAACCCTCCTGTCTCTCCCTCCCGTTCCTGTCCTCCTCCCAGATCAACCAGTGCTTCTACCATCCCCTCTGCCTCAGGCTCTTTGTGTCGAGGTGCATCCCGCACTGCTCGATCCGATGACCCAGCCTTCCGTCGTTGGTGATGATAGACCTCGGGTCTGAGCACGAGGACCAGGTAGAGCAAACGTTGTACCCGTAAGTTACTCCCTAAAGTTAAACTTAGACTATGAGAACCCGTGCATAAAAAAAAAACAAGATACTACTGCCCAGAACTTTTAATAGAAAAAAAGAGGGGGGGGTTCCCATAGCCTCCCTATGAGGTCAACTTGCGAGTCTTTCAAGTTTTCCAAGACCTCCTGGTTGTGATCTAGAAAAACTCGAAATGTCATGCTAGAAGTCACCTTGGGTGTGCTAGAGGCCACCCTATCTACACAAATGGTGGTCTATTATCTGTTCCTGATGCCCGAGGGCAAGGGCAGTCAGTACTCCTTCAACGTACTGTGCGCCCTCTTAAACTGGATTTAAACCCCTGCTGTACTCGTACCATTGCCTTAAAATATAGTTTTATTGTAAAAAATTGTATTTTTACACGGTTTTAATAAATATGTTATGTATATTACAAACTTTCTTTTCTTTTTTTTATTATGGGTGTAGACAAAAAGCGTGTTTTGATCTGTCGTACTTTAACACCTTTTTTCTTTTCAAAACCGTAGTTTTACCAGCCAGAAACTGTTTTACCAATACTACGAAGACTATTTAAAAAAAAAATATTTAGAAGTTTTTTTATGTGATCAAGAAGTGTTTTTGACTTGTCTTGACAATTTCTCTTGACGTTTTATGTATATCCAGACAGTTCCAACAATTTGATGAAAGTAAAAACTGAAATGGAACCGCGTTTTTCTTATTTATATTGATATAATCACCAACCAATGTAATTTTTTTGATAAATTCTGCTTAAAAAAGTTTGTTACACATAAAATCCAAGATTCGAGAACGTGGTATACTGCACGGTGGAGACCCTGCAGAGGTTCGAGCAAGTAGGAGGGGTTCGTTTTCGAAATAACAAAACTTGAATATAATCTGTAAACCTTTGGCGGATTGGAAGAAAACGATCCGGGGTTGTTATTTTTCGAGACATGTTCCCAAACCCCGAGCAGAGTTGGTTTCGTTGACACACGGATTTATACCTTAAAAGTAATAAAAATATTTTAAGTTTGTCTAGTCTAGAAATTTAATATGAAAGAAGACAAGACGAGATAAAATTCAGGTAATAAAAAAATTCGACTTTTAGAAAACCACACTTCCCCCGGGTTATTTAGTGTAACCGCTAACTAAAAATATGAAAACACGATTAGAAATCGACCTCTATGTCAAAATTTAGCTTGTCAGGCTGTATGTTTGTTTTGTTTGTATCCAATATACGTTGAAACGGCTGAACCGATCAGGCTCAAATTTTTTGTGGGACATCACATGACCATAGGGAAGGTTTACGAATGATGAAAATTTTAAAAAAATTGTGTTTTTTTATTTTTGTAAAAAAATTAAAATTCACGAAAATCCGCTTATTTTTTCTATTTAATGATCAAAAATAATTATCTTTTCAGACACCATGGGTTTCTGCGTATACAAAAAAATTTAAACAGATAGAATCAATTAACCAATTTTAATTTTGATGCAGATCCTGGATCCAGAGAAGAAATAGATCCAGGCCCATGGATCCTGTAGCGACCGAGCGAAATAGGCCTGAAAGGAAAAGGAAAGGGGAATGGGAAAAGGGGGAAGAGAAAAGGAAAAAAGGGGAAAGGAAGAGAAAAAAGGAAGTGGGAATGAAAAAAAGCTGGAAAAAGAGGNCCCCCTCTAAGTATGTACAATAAACATCTCAAGGGGTTACCCTGAAGTCTATCTTTTTAGGACACCAAAACACTCCATTATACTAGTGAAATCCAAAAAAACTTCTATCCGAGAGGGGGACTCTGCCCCCCCCCCAAATTTTTTAAATTTGCACGCTATGAGAAACCTGTCAAATACACCCGTTTTCTAAGCTGTGGGTTAGGAGACTAAATATGATTGTGAAAAAACTTGTATACATCCCTGGTAGTGACTAAAAAATTTAAACAGATACAATCACGACTTAGGAGCCATTTAATTTTGATGCGGATCCTGGATCCACACTGGAAAAAAATGGATCCCAATCCGAGATCATTTCTTTATGCTTTATAGAATTTGTTAAAGAAGAATAATTTTTCAAACGTTTTTGTTCTTTTGATCGTTTAATTTTATTCTAAAAACCTGATGAACCATTAGGAAATGAGGTATTTTTTATAATCTCTTTTCAAAGTTCAGATTCAGGGTGTCTATCTTACCGGTAGAGCTGGGCAGGTGACGAGGACCAGGTTTGCGCCGTTCTTTCAGGCAGGGCAGCAATCTAGGCGAGTAAAAAATATATAAGTATTTTTTGTTAAGAAGATGCTATTCACCCAAGAGGAGCTAACTAGGATATTGGCTACACCTCACTTCTCACTACCTAGTACCCTGACATTTCAGGAATTTTATTTCGAACAGATATATTAACCAATCAACCCCCCCCCTCTCCCTAACTAAAAAATCAAAGTTTTCACCTTTTTAAAGGGAGTGACTGACAATGCCCTAGAAACCAGTCCCATTAGGTCGAGATAGGTCAGGTTAGGTCGGATTACGTCAGATTACCAAATTGGTCGCAATATGACCAGTCCCCTTAGGTTGTGTTAGGTAGTGTTAGGTCGGGTTACGTCAGATTACCAAACTGGTCGAAACATGACCAGTCCCCCAGGTCGTGTTTGGTCAGTTTAGGTCGGGTTAGGTTGAGTTACCTAACTGGTCTCATACTGGTCTTAACCTGACCAGTCGGTGACATGGAAATGCCTCAACACGGAAACGACTCAACACGGAAACGGATCAAAAATTATTTTTGAGGCATTTTCGTTTTTTTTAGAAATTCAAGGAAATCCCTCAAAAGTTCAGAATTGTTGAGGGATTTCCGAATATTTTGTATCCGTTTCCCAATATTTAGAGTTGAATGGTTTCCTCTTTTTTTTGATCAATTTCCTCATATTTTTAGGTCCGTTTCCTCATATTTTTGATCCGTTTCCACTTTTTTCAAAAACTTTAAAAATCTCAAATATTATTAGCCCGCTTTAAAATGAGAAAAAAAGTTGAAAAAATATAAGGTGTTAAAAACGCCAAAAGAGATATTTTACTTTCGATTTTTATTAACTCCATTCTTGTTGGGAGGGGGGATGGGGTGGATTGTTTACCCCCCTGTATTTATTAAATAACTCTTATTGTGAAATATTTTTTAAATGTTTACAAATTGTGCGTTTTGTTGTAGATTCTAAATATTTTAGACCTCAAACACGGGATTTAGAGAGGGGTTGCTCGGGTATACTGGATTTTTTTTTAAAGTATCTCAAATAAAGAGAATAGAATATATATTAGAGCGGAATTTAGAATCTAGGTACGATTTTTTTCAGCCTCCTTTAGCCCGAAAGGGTGTTCAAAGTGTACAAATCATGTAAATGTTCAAGAAATATATGCAGTAGAGTTAATACAAAATTTTATAAAACGAATTAGGTGAATAAAAAACATCATTTGATTTATAGTTATAACGGAAAATCATCGTTTGTAAAGTGTAAGGCTAGAGCCTATGTGAAACGATCATTACTCAATTATGAAAACACACATTTTATAATTTGATTTTCTTTTAACATTATTTTTAGACTTTCTAAAAAAAACGACGTTCCAGGGTCCAAAAAGTTATATAGCACAAATATGTGAAGTACACCTGCAGTATGGAAACAGTACAACAAAAGGGTTGTTTTTTTCCCCTAGTAAATTCCTCTCTAATATATATTCAATTCTCTTTGATCCCAACCCAGCTATGAATAAAAAATACCTTTTTTTAACCCTAGGCAATTTGTGAACGGTTTCAATCGGAGAAGAGGGAATCTATGATTCCCGACCCCACCTTCGACTGGTTGAAGGCGCCCGTCCTCAAGTCCTCGGAAGTTCAGTCTGAGACGGAGCCGGACACCAAGACCGTATTGACAACGAAGGCGATGTTGACGACCGAATCCAGTCCCCTCCCTCTCCAACCGTCTTCTGTTCTCCCTGAGACGCTCGTCGTGAAGGAGAAGCTGTTGAAACTGACTCATCCCGACATGGGAACGATTTCCCTAATCGTTTCCGTAGTCTCGCTCTGCCTCACTCTAATATGTAAGATTTAATTAGTTTTCTTGCTTAATAAGGATTTTTGGTCATATTTTAGAATTTGTTACATTGCAAAATAAGAATTGTTCTTTTTTTTCAGCATTGTTGGCTAACCGATGTTACAAACGTTGTCAACAGAAAGGAAGAAGAGCTAAGAGTAACGGAACCCTGCCACTCCGGGTACATTTTTGCCTCTCATTTTATTTTATTGTAAATTCTTTCGATTTTTCTTTAAAAAAAGACTTTTTTAACTTTTTTAACCTGTATACCTTGATGAGACCACAGGAACGAGAAGAATTCCATTGTCGGAGCTCCCCTCATCAGGTCGCATAACCCCTGGGAGAGAGAGACGGCGACCACCCTCAGACAGCTCAACCCTCTCGTCAATGACCACCGGTGAGCACTTAAAAAAACATTTTTTAAATTTTGTACGTCTTTGACCCGTTCTTGATTTTTTAAAAAGCTGTGTTAAATTAGCATCCCCAATAAAAATGAGAATTAAATGCGAACTTCTTCATAGATTATTTCAAACAGCGAAGAACAAAGTTAAAAATAGTTTTTTAACACTGATAAAAAAAATAAACCCCGGCTATATAAAAACGCAGTCTACCATATCTTTTACTCTGTCAAAAAAACCAGAGAGAACCCAATATAAAACGGGATTTTAGTTATGCGAACAACAATAAAAATCTTCAAAATACTAATTTAAAAGATACAAAATAAGGTAGACCCCCCCCCCATTTTTGTTTGGAAAATTCACAAAAACCTTTTGTTTGATCAACGCTAACAGTTTGACAATAAGTAAAACAAAAGATGATCAAACTCTATTTTATTTTTATACTGGTTCGATTATTATTTTTTATCGTCCAATTGATTGATCGATTTTTTTGTACCTTGTCTCAGGAAGGACAGAGCTGGAGAACGTTGAGATTCATTGTCTCCATCCTCAGCAACCTGTGTTCCCTCCCCTTTCGCTCAGTCAACCCGCCCAGGCAGGGGCACGTTCAACCGTCCAAAGCTTCCAGCCGTCAATCCAAACTGACCAACGCCTGAACCTTGGTGGCACACGACTCAAAACAACAGCATACACCCGCGACTTTTACGGAGGGGTCCCCTATCCAAACAGAGGAGGGGTCGGAGAGATTTATCTCGACCCATCCAGGATAATGAGCCAAGCCGCCAGCCAGGTGACCGAGGGACATGAGTCGGAGTACTCCTCCTTCACAAACCCGATTTTCAGTTCCACAGACATGGGCCTTAACCTACCAAGGTAAAAAAAAACATTATTTGAAAATTGAACAATACAAACAAATGGAAAGTGACTTATTATTTTAAACGTTTAAAAACTGTTTTTAAAATAACCTAATTTTCTTTTATTCTTTTTCAGTGCCACAGAGTTTGAGAGCGAGTGGTCCACGCCGCCCAACCAGTAACCACCAGACCGATCTGTACACGACTGTATTATACTACCAATTTTTTTCTTTCAATTTTACATTAGGGTTTACAACTGTACGGTGTTTTATACCTATGTCCCATACCGTACAATAAAAACTAGTTTAAGTATGGATTCGGTTTTCAGAAATTGATAGAAAAAAAATAACATGAACCTTTGGTCTGTTTTGGCGCTGGGGTATTGGATCTCCCTAATTTCCAGCAGTTTCCAAAGTAAGCTCCCCCACATCTAAAAAGTAGAGAGAAACTTTAGATTTCAATTTTATATTTATTCTATGGTTCTATGCACTACACCTTTGAGGGGTTATATATTGATTTTGGCTTTAAGGACGTAGCCTGGTGTCACAATATTGCCTGAGAAGAGGAAAAACTCGAAATGTCATGCTAGAAGTCACCTTGGGTGTGCTAGAGGCCACCCTATCTACACAAATGGTGGTCTATTATCTGTTCTCCTTCAGTACTCCTTCAACGTACTGTGCGCCCTCTTAAACTGGATCTAAACCCCTGCTGGACTCGTACCATTGCCTTAAAATACAGTTTTATTGTAAAAAATTGTATTTTTACACGGTTTTAATGAATATGTTATGTATATTACAAACTTTCTTTTCTTTTTTTTGTTGTGGGTGTAGACAAGAAGCGTGTTTTGATCTGTCGTACTTTAACACGTTTTTTCTTTTCAAAATCGTAGTTACCACCTTTCTTTATGTTTTTTACCAGCCAGAAACTATTTTACCAATACTACGAAGACAATTTTAAAAAAAAATATTTAGAAGTTTTTGTATGTGATCAAAAAGTGTTTTTGACTTGTCTTGACAATTTCTCTTGACGTTTTATGTATATCCAGACCTTTCCAACAATTTGATGAAAGTAAAAACTGTTAAAACTTGATTTTCAACCCCTTTCTTACCAAGAAATAAATACAAACTTCTATCTTTCAACCTTTTTAACGTCGTTGGTTTAATTGAACTTTTGAAGTAGACTTAAATTTATTATTGGTGCAGAAAGGCAGGTGCTCGACCTCAGCTCTGGTTTGGTTGAAAGACCGGCGTCACCACCCCGACGTATCTTTTCACCAAAGACTGCTCAGCTGAACAGATGGATTAATTTCTTTGTCAGAATAAGTACAAAAAAGTACAAAGTAAAAAATTAAACAAAAAATATCTCAGACCCCTTTCTTCGTCAAATTATCCAGAACGCAATACCCCCCCCCCCCACCTCAATTTTACAAGATTTCAAGAGTTTTTTATTGTAATTGTAATTGTTAAATTTTTCGTTTTTAATTTGTATGATTCGAGCGGAGGAAAATAGTTTCACCCCCGACGTGGTTAGGATACTGAATTTCCAAAGGTAAGTCAAATTACAGAAAGAGAAAAAATAAAAAAAAGTATGAAAATTAAAACTCACTTGTTTCAGACCTGTTCCTGGAACCCGCGCCTCGGAAAGCATCCTGCCTGGTGAGGTTGATGCTTTGACCGCGCTAGACTTGGAGTCGCACTTCAATGGGGAAGTTTTTTATCCCATGCCTGTGCTGGAGCACGACTTCAAGTTTGACCTCGGATCGTTGGTTGTCCTCAAACTTGTGGCTACGCTCCTGACTGTTTGGTCAGAAGTTGTCCTTGATCGGGTATGACACAAAGTTGACCATGGTCATTGCCCAACGCCAGATCAAACCCTCGGGTAGGCGAGGTCATCAGAGGACGGCCTATTATCAAGGCCGTCTTCCCACCCCAGCTGAACTTCAGACCCATCCTGGTTGGTCCCAGCTGTCCTGGCTCAGTGCTGATGAACTGTCTGTCTGGCGTCCAGAAAAACATCTCTCACTTGTGCCTGTTGTGCCCCTCCCCCCANGAACTGTTGCCATTTCACATGGCACTTTACTTACAAGATTTTTCCCCATAGGCTGGTCAGCATATGCAGCAGGAGTACCCTTAAAAAATACTCGACCCGTGAAATGACCAAGGCTACTTTTAATCACGTTCAGATAATCATCAATAACAGCTGCAAAATTTACTGGCCCATCGTTAGGAACTAGGAACTTGGTTTCCTTCTTGTCTGAGCGCTGTTTCATCCAGTATGATCTATGAAGTTCATCCAGTCACCAACTGTTCGTTTTTGATTTTTTTTAAAACGCCGTGTGACTGCGCAACTATACTTTATTTTATCGGTCAACCGTTATATTGTCATATTTTCAGTTAGTTCGGGGGTCGACTAATAATTATTTATTATTTTCGTTTATTAATAACTAAGAAGGATTGCTTAAACTTATAGCCTTGGACTCGAACAGTATAATTATCGTTGTTTCCCAGCTAGTATAAAAAATATTTTTGAATAAAAAGAGAAAATAAGTAAAAAAAACCCTTCCGTTTTAGCACTCATAGCGTTACTAGTGTCGGTTTTTAAAAAAATCTATGTATAAATGAATGTACCTACGTTTTTACAAAAAAAAAATTTTTCATAATATTTTCTAATTTACATAAAGCTTTAATAAAACTTATAATCGTCTGTTTAATGTTTTTTTTCAATCGCCTCCTATGTCCATATACTTGCTGAATGCCGGTTGGTTTCATAATATGATTATATACTTCGCAGGATTGGTTCTGAAGTATGATTGACACAAGTTTCCTCTCTGAAACTCGAAACTCTACTCAGCCCTGCTTATGAGACACACGGTCTGATCAGAGAGCGATTAAATTTCTTTTTCGCCCTGTTGTAGAGCGATAAAAATACCGTTTTCGCCCTACACCGGTGTGATATATTCTCTCAAAATTGAATAAAATATTTAAGAAAATTTGACAGAAAATTTTAGAAAAATTTATTAAATACTTCAAAATATTTAGGTAAATGTTACGCAAAATATACAAAAAATTTAACTTACGAGATTTTATTCGAAAATCGGGATCGTTTTTTACGTAAAATTTATGTATTTCATCAAATTTTGACCCAAAAATACGGGTAATTTTCGAATAATTTTCGAAAATTTGGTAAATACAGGGTATAGATTGAACTTAAGAATATAGGATCTATCATTGTAGAGATAGTTATTTGTTTCCCAGCTAGTATAAACATCGTTGGAGGGGATAGTTAGTTGTTTCCCAACTAGTATAAACGTCGTTGGAGAGATAGTTAGTTGTTTCCCAGCTAGTATATAAATACTGTTTAAAAAAGAGGCTATAAGAAAAAAAAAGATTCCTACCTGAAGATGGAGAAAAGTTCTTGTTGGTCTTCTCCCACTGCCGAGTCGTCGGGTCCAGAACCTTCTAACACCAGGTCATAGGAGATGGCTGCGTCTGAATTGAAAAAACAAAAATCGAGAGTAAAAAAGATTTTTTTTTACGCGTTAAAAAATAATTTCGTTTGGTTGAAAAGTAAAATTGTTTTTAAAAATCCCCCCCCCTCCCCCCCCCNATACTCGGTCGCACGAATATTTTTGTTCCATACAGAAAAAAAAACCTGTATCACCAGGGTCAAAAACCTGTATGATTATAGATAAGATCTGTCTATTTCAACAAGAGAAATAACAATTAATTACTACTTAACCGGGAGATTAAGGGAGGATAATTAAATTGAGGGGAAAACCACTTAGCCAAGGGCCTCCAAGACCTTTTTGGGGTTCTAAACCTCCCTCGCTACGCTCGTGAGGTTTAGAACCCCAAAAAGGTCTTGGAGGCCCTTGGCTAAGTGGTTTTCCCCTCAATTTAATTATCCTCCCTTAATCTCCCGGTTAAGTAGTAATTAATTGTTATTTCTCTTGTTGAAATAGACAGATCTTATCTATAATCATACAGGTTTTTGACCCTGGTGATACAGGTTTTTTTTTCTGTATGGAACAAAAATATTCGTGCGACCGAGTATCCCCCTATTATACAGAGTGTCCCAAAAAAAAATGGGAATTCAGTGACAACTTCGATATCGTCTTTGATTCTTTGATTTAGTATAGTGAATGAGAAAAGCTGTAATCTATAAGAGTTTCGTCTGCTATGTTTACAATTTGTTTGTTTATGTTTTGTACTTAGTAAAACAAGAAAATTGTCGTATACAAACAGAGTAAACTTGTCCGTCTTCACTGTTCATCGTGTGGAGACATTATAGACGCATCTTTACAGTCTTTTACCGTTTTCATAAAAAAAAAGTCGACTTATAGCAGACATAATAATATTATCGCTTTTGAAATTAGGTATTACAAGGCTAATTCATAACAAAGACGATATCGAATTCGTCAGTGAATTCTCATGTTTTTTGGAACACCCTGTATAAGGAATCCCATATAATAATGGGGGGGGGGGGTATTCATAATTATAATATGAACCGAAAAGGAAAATATTGATGGTGTAAGGACCTACGTCCTTACGTCCTACATGTCCATCCAACCTACTAGCCTGTGGTTTTTACAACTGTTAGACGAACTTCTGGCTGCAGCAGCCGGCAACCTAGTCGCCACGCTCGGTCCAGAAAAAATAAACAGGTGTCGTAGGACGGCTGTTGCAGAAGAGTGGATTAATATTTTTCGAAAATATTACCCGAGGTCGGATGATGTATGCTCTAGTTTCCTATTAACAAACAAAAAAACACAGTCGTGCGAATTCACGTTTTAGATAAAAACACGGGACCTGATCCTCACGGAGGTCGGAGTAGGATCTGCGCACGCACTAAGAGGATTCATTCTTTGGGTAAGTGGTGAAAAAAAAATTATACGCGAAATTATAGATATCCATCCCTTCCTTTTAACTTAGTTGTAAAGGTTGCTCGTTGGTCTGAGAGTGTTAGGGCTGATAAAAGTTCTATTTCTAGTTGTGTCGATGATATCTCCTCAAAAGAGATTCTAAAAAAGCACGTTTTAAACTCAAAAAAAATTTTNTTTTATTGCAGGGGGGCATTTATAGTTCCAAAACTAACACTGAATGGTTTTAGGATCCCAGCTTATAACCAACATTTTTTTCAACAATTTCGAGATTTAAACTATTTTCTCAAAATCAAAATCGTA